TTATGTAATAGCAAACACCTGGGGTGGGGAGAACAGGAGACCATTAAAAGCTGCATGACTGCATTTTGCTTTGGTATTTTCTCAACTGAGCACCTCACACAGGCAGCATGCCAGGATTCTAATGAAGGCTGGTAGACTTCCTTGCACTCTACATCATAAAAACGTGAGTTAAACATGTAGAAAAGACAAGGCAGGATTTGTCCTATTAGGAGTCCTTTGCAGCAACACTTAAAAACTGTGTAGGAGCTACTCCTCTGTACTGCAAAGGGAAGCCCTTGATGGAGAGCCTTGGAACTCTTTTCTCCTCATATCCCAAGCCACAGAGCCACAGGCTCCATGCTCCTTGTCCAGACAAAGCTCTGAACTTGAACTCTGAGTTTCCCTCATCATCTGCCATCATCTCATAACTCCAGCTGCCAGTGTAGCAGGTAACAGCTTTCTTACATCTACTCAGATAAACATCAGGAGCACAGATGCCAGAAAACACATCCTGTGTGTTAGCACAGGACTGTGGGCACCAAGGATTGTAGAAATGGGTATTTATATTCACCTATTCTGAAATTCAGTGGCCATGAGGAGGCAAGAGGACAATACACTATGCTTCAGGTAGGAAGAGGGAAATTCCCAGACTTTTCAACAGCTGTTTGAAGGAACACCACCACAACAGGATCACAGGCAACATAGTTCCAAAAAAGGTTACTTTGCAGAAAATTCTGCTCCAAGTTCACTGTACCACCTGTGATCTTGAGCACAAAGATTCAAAAGTTCCCCTTTTTCTGACACAAGCTGACTACAAAAGCCAGCACTGTGTGAGATATTTATACAGCTTGCCACAAACCAACCCAAGTCACATAGCTCAAACTTTGGCATTGTTATCCATGCAGAAAGCCTTTTGCCTGTATTCCCAGTTTCCCAGTATGAGGTAATGACATTGCCAAAAAAATCCAGTTGTGGGCCTAGTTAAACTTCCAGCAGAAACTAAAACACCAAACAATTAGCCAGTGGCATGTTACAGGAAAGGCAGGACACAGAATGAACAGAACTGGGCATTTCTGGCTTTATCATAGAACATCCTGAGTTGGAAGGGACCCACAAGGATCATTGAGTCCAACTCCTGACCCAGCACAGGATACCCCAACAATCCCAACACGTGCCTGAGAGCATTGTCCAAACCCTTCCTGAGCTGTGTAAGCCTTGGTGCTGTGACCACTTTCCTGGGGAGCTGTTCCAGTGCTCAACCACTCTGGGTGAAATACCTTTTCCTAATATTCAACCTAAACCTGCCCTGGCACAGCTTCATGCCATGACCACTTCCTCACTACAACACTGTTTAACCCCAAGGGTCCAGTCCATCCTCTATCCAACACACAGAGCAAAGCTACAGAGACTCAAATTTATTTTTTTTTTTACAACCAGGGTCTCACATTTGTCAGAGACCAACAGAAACAGAGACACCACATGCTCAGATACTTTCTCAGGAAGCCCTTCAGAGTCTTGATTTTTCTACAGAGAATTGTCACAAGCAGCAGCAGAAAACTTGGAACTGGAGGACCTCTGGTGGACAGCTACAGGCTGTTTCCTCAAGAGGAATGTACTGAAGAAAAGCAGCTGCAGCACCTCTAAAGATGTGCTTTTTGAAAAAAATTACAACTTTTTAGAAAGGTCACAAACTCCCCAAAACCAGAAGGAACAGATAATGCACTCACTGAACTGCTCGGCATCAGTCTTACAGGTCCAACCCCAGTGCCCCAACAGTGGGTAGAGTTTTAGTTCTTAAAGATAAAAAACACTGGGTTTGGAATAAGGAAAGAGATTATCTTTCCTTGGACAGTGATATTAAACACCAGCACCCCCATTGTCGGTGATGGGAAGGCCACACATCAATCCTTGACAAATATTCTTCCAAAAACACTGAATTTGTTTGAGCAAGGGAAAAAAAAAAAAAAAAAAAAAAAAGGAAGCTAAGTAGTAACAAATATCAACATCCCAGATACTCCCATTTTAGATCTGTAAATGCAGAAGTCCATAACAGCATGCACCATCCTGCTTCCTTACCTGACACTAACACATTCCCAGGAAGGCTTTGTACGGAACAGAATCAGGCGTTTGTTGTCATCTGTCAAGGCAAAATAACCTCCTGATGGGGAGAAGGCAAAGGCCAGGATGTCATCACTTCCTTTATCTGTCCCTTTTCCATCCTGCCTAATAGAGAGAAGGAACCAACAGTTCACAACCTGATAGCTACTAAATTCCCTCAGGGAGTTGTTCCCAAACCACCCAGGAGCATAAAGAACAAAGTAAACTTTAAACAGTTTTATTTCTGCTTAGAATGTTGAACCAACCCAGACATTAGTGCAAAAAAATAAGCCAAGACAAAGGAAATTGACAGGTCAAAGCCTGTTTAGAAAACAAAAGTTTGTGCTGGCACATCTTGATATAAATTATGAAGTATAAACATATATATGAGGTATAAATATATATAAAAATTATAAGTTATTTCTCTATGAGGAAACCAGTAAAATGTTTCCTGTTTGGCTACAAGTAAAACAATATCCAGTGGTTGAATCTAATCTATGAAAAACACTTTTTTGTGTGTGTGTTTTGAATTCTCATGACTTACAGAACAGATCTGGAGAAGAACTTATTTAAGAACTTTGTGGATATTTTTGGTCTTAGATGTCTAACAAAGAATGCAGGACTTTTCCACAAATGTCTTGACTGACAAGAGACAGAATTACTGATTTTGATTTTGCCACTGCTGTTTTTTTTTTTTTTAGAAAAAAAAGAGAAGAAAGGTGCACAGTGGAATGAAACTCTGGATGAAACAGAAACAAAAACCAGATCCATACATAACCATCAGGGTTAGCAAAACCAACCCTTCACCTGCTCAAGGAGTCATCCTGTGGGTTTTTGGCTGCCTCCACAGCCACACAAGCTCAGAGATGCACCCTCCAGGAAAAGAGCAGATTTTCTCACCCTTTCTCTCCTAAGGGTTGCTTCTCTGCACTGCTGCAATCGTACACGAAGAGACTCTCATCACTGCAAGGGAAAAACAAACCTAAAATTACTGCACTAGAACAACCAGCAGCTTTACCTATGGAAAATAGCAACTGTTTAGTAGGATTCTCTTATTTTAGTTATTGGGCACAACTGCCTCCCATCTTGAGAACCACCTCTACCCAAGTGGTCTCCCAGAGTGCTACAGATGTGGCAGAAGCTTAAAATTTTGGACTGTGACATGTCAAAAAGGAAATTCTTCCCTGCTGGTGCAGTAACCCTGTATTTTGCATAAATTTTATTTCTGTCACTCTCAGCAAATCTGTCAGTAGCATTTACCCAGTCACAGAATCACAGGACTGGTGAGATTGGATGGGACTACAGTGGGTCAGCTGGTCCAACCTCCCTGCTTGAGGAGGGTCACCCCAGAGCACACAGCACAGGACTGTGCCCAGACAGTTCTGGAGTATCTCTGGAGAGGGAGACTCCACACCCTCACTGCACAATCTGATCCAGTGCTCAGTCACTGCACAATAAAAAAGTTCTTCCTCATGCTCAGGTGGAACTTCCAGGGCATCAGTTTTGTCCCTTGCCTCTTGTCCACTGCTGGGCACCACGGAGCAGAGCCTGGCCCATGCTCTGACATCTCCCTTCAGACACCACACAGAACTTCAGCATCATTCAGGTTGGAAAAGACCTCTGGAGATCACCCAGTCCAACTCCCTGCCCAGGAAAGCTCCCCTGGAACAGTGACACAGGAACGTGTCCAGATGGCTCTGGAATGTTACCAGAGAGGGAGACTCCACTCCCCCCCTGGCCAGTTGTTCCAGAGCTCTGCCACCTCCATGGAAAGAAATTCTTCCTTGTGTTGAGGTGGAACTTCTTGTGTTTTATTTTATGGCTATTGCTTCTCATCCTGCCACTGGGCAACAGGAGATGCAAAGAGCCTGGCACCATCCATTTGGCAACCACCTTGGAGATATTTATATGCACCTTCCTTATGGACATAAAATAGACCATTATTACATATGTGTGTGTATATATATATGTAGTATACATTCTAGGCATTTATATGTATTTGTATACATATGTATTTATATACATATATATATATATATATATATATAAAATAATCTTGTATACACTCTAGGCATTTACAGTTTTATGCATGTTAGACATATACATGTAATACATGTGCTATATACCCATTACATATATACATATATATGCTATATATATACCTATGTTTTCCATAAGCTATGTATACATATAGACTGTTATAGATATAAAACACATGTATGTATATAACATATATGAATGTATATAGCATATATGAATGTATATAGCATACACGTAGATATAACATATACGTATATATAACATATACGTATATATGTGTACTTACGTAAATATGGAGTGTATATATATAAAATATATATAAAATATATAAAATATATTTAAATATATATAAAATATATAATATATATAATATACACTATATAAAATATTGTATATATATTATTTATATTTTCTATATATGGTGTGCATATATCGATATATATTCTCTATGCTATATATAGCCCAACTGGGGGAGCACAACCGTGACAGAAAACCGGCAAGGCTACAAAGTTCCAAAGTGGCATTTCCGTCCCAGAACACGCGGACACGGCGCTGGGAAAGGCACGAACCTGCGCAGGGCCGGCGGCTCCCTCACTGCCCCAGCACCTCCCCTCACCCCACACGGGGCCCTGCGAGCCCCCTCAGGAGGCGCCAGGAGGCCTCCGCCGCTCGGGCCCGCCGTGCCGCGCACTGACCCGCAGCGCCCCGGCCCCGCACGCCCCGCACTGACCCGCTGTGGCCCGGCCGCGCCGCCAGCAGCCGCCCCCCGGCGCTCGCCACGGCCGCGGCCCCGCGCAGCGCCAGCGCCGGGCGGGCCCCGGGGCTGCGCCCGCCGCCATCGCCGCCCGCCATGCGCCCGCGCCGCCGCGTGACGTCACCGCGTGGCGTCGCCGCGTGACGTCACCGCCCACCGCCAGCCCGCCGGGGCGCCCTGAGGGCTCCGGGCAAGATGGCGGCGGCCGCGGCGCTGAGGGGCGGCGGGAGGGCGCTGAGCCGCGAGGTAAAGGGGCTCCTCCGGGGGCTTCCTGCACCTGCACGCCCTCCGCTGTCGGGGTTTCCTCCCGCTATGTTAACTCTTTTATTGCAGGTGTGGCAGCTGGAGGCGAGGGGGCTCTGCACGAAGCCGGTGGGCACCGGGACGGCGCCGCCAAAGAGTAAGAGGGTGGTTTGGGTGTGAGGGGTGTCGGGGTGTCAGTAAAAGGAATGGGGCAGGGGAGATGGCGAAGAGTCAGGCCTCGCAAGAGGCGCTGCATAAGCTGGGAAAAGCAAGGACTGAAAGGTCATCGCCATGTAAACGAGAGTTTCTGATAAAATGTACCTTGTAGTAATAAAAGTAAAGGTCTGGCTGTGTGCGTTATATTTATAAGTCATATATACACATATATACATACATAGTTTTATATTTATGAACTTGTCACTTCTTTCCTGTGTTCCTTCATGTTAATATTCAAGGCCGGGCTGCATAACTCAGCTGTTCAACCTGTAGGAGGGCGAATGGCTTCAAACTGAAAGAAATTAGGGTTAGATCAGATATCAGGAAAAAATTGTTTACTGCGAGGGTGGTGAGGCCCTGGCACAGATTGCTCAGAGAAGCTGTGGATGTCCCATCCTTGGAAATGTTTTTAATGACGTGCAAAATATAATTCTTAATTTTAGATGATCACCCTTGTCTTTTGAAACGTTTGTGTTATCAGGATTAAAAAATAGAAGGACTGAGATAGAGAAGGACTTCCAAAATCTAAATATCCCAAATAGCAGCTCCAGGCAGCAGTGTAAGAAGCTGCCATGGCCCTGTGTGTTAAATTTGGTAATAATGCTTCTTGCCCCATAGATCTGCAAGCCTGGGTTTGGATGCTGCCCTGCATCCCGCATTGAGGAGTATTTGAACCCCATTTACCCCTGACCAAAGGCAATATAAATTTCAGAGATTGATGTCTTGTTTGTATAAATGGAGGCTCAGTGGTTCAGTGAGGTTTCCTGTCCCAAATTAGAGATCCAGGTGCTGAAACAGGAAAGCTCCATGGAACCATATGTAGGAACCATCAGATTTGTTGACTGCTGTTGAAAAGATCACTGAAAGAGCAGTTGAAGTCAGACTTTTGCCACCTTCTTAAATGCCAAAGCAAATAAAACCTGGCTGAGGAAGCTTTCACTGCATAGATTGATTGAACAGCAAGTTGCTTTTTATTATGATTTATTTTTTTACATTAAGTGTATTTGAGATGCACTTTAGTATCAGTTTCTGGGTTCACTGTCCTGCAGCTCTGATTTGTGTCAGAAGCCCTTTTAGGCCAGCTGCAAACACCCCAGGTTAATTAAGATTTATAGGGTGCAGTGCCTTTGCCAGATTCTGCCTGGAACAGGATGTGCAAATTCTCCTTGCTTTGATAAAGTGGTCGTGTTTACATACAGAGCCAATGATGGGAAATAGGCCTGTAATTTCTGCCTGTCACCTCTCTGAGTGTGATCAGCCTTTAAATACATGCTGGGAATGATGCTGATGTTCCAAGCATCAGGAAGAACACATCTGGGAATGGTGTTTCTTGATTTGGAGGTGGTGTTCTTTTGGCAAAGTGATGCAGGTACAGATTAGCTGGTGCAAAGTTTGAAATACCCTAATTAAAGTGGATCAGTTGTATTGGATGTTTCAGCTTTTAATCATAATATCTATCTTTTTCACTTATCCAAACTTAACTGTTTAAAATATTATTCCAGTAACTAATGGACAAGTTGAATTTTCCCTGCCTTCTTGATTTCTTAGGATGTTTTAACATTAATACTTCTTCAGGTTTTGCTCAGCTTTCCCTTGTCTATGCTCCCTTTGGCCATTCTTGTGTTAGTTTAACCTCTGCTGTGCCTCTCTGAAGAGCTCTTCCATCCTGACACTGCCTCACGTGTTAGTTTCTCCAGGCTGCTGTTTGGCTGGGTCAGTCTGTGCAGGGAGTCAGACCTCTTCCAAAGGTGGCTGCCCATCCTCCTGCCTCCCCCTGCCCTTCCTTCCCATCCTGCACCTTCCATCTGGCAGAGAGAAGTATGTGCTTGAAATTATTCAAAATACTACTTGTGAACTTGATACATTTTTTTTTCATTGTATTTTGTTGTGATAAAAACTCTGCGTTTCTTCCTTAAATACTTTGCTTTTGTTTTCGTGTGCTTGTCTCTTCTGTGATGTTTTCATTTAGACATTGCTAAAGACTTGCTTCTGTTCAGAACTAATGGTAATAACTCCTTAAATCATACAAGGTATTACCATAAAATACCAGTGAGCTGAATTTAGTTTATGGGCATATAAAGTAGATCTGGATTTCCAAACTTTGCAGAAAAATCTGTATAATGGGCTGGAAATCTGTTGAATTTTACTGCTGGTTGGAAGTGATGCAACTTGTAATGGAGTTGGCTTTGATATAGCAAATTTCAGCCATGGTGAATCTTCTTAATGTGCTTCCAGTCCTCCTTGACATCCTGTTTTCTGTAACCACAACAGTATTTGCTGTTGCTCAGCCTCCTGAGGATGATAATAAGCACCCAAGGGATATTATGTATTATTTAGCATTATAATTGCTTTTAGTTTATTTTTGTACCAGATTATCTTAGAAAGTTAAAACTGTTTGACTAAGATCAGTAATAGTGATGTCAGATACAATGATGATAATCCTCTTTATGCCGTTTCCTAGATGTAGTGGCACCACAGGGAAGCACCAAGCTGCTTGCCATGAAGGCACCAGTTGAATTTCGTAAAATGTTGTCTTCTAGCTCTCTCCTGCTGTCTGCAGACAAAGGTGAGAGCATTTCTAGTACCACCCTCAAGGAAGCTGCAAAGCCTGCTGAAGACACAAGGATGCCCATGTCAAGAAAAACTGAGGTTGCGTTTCCTCAGCGAGGAGGAGTTGCTTCCTCCCATGAGGAGGAAAAACTCACCACACCTGCAGCAGGAAGAGGCCTGAGGAAAGAGTTAGCTGAGGAACAGACTTCATCCAGCTCAGAGTCAGATTCTAGCTCAGATTCAGAGGATGAAAATGTTGATGATTCACAAGTTGCTGTTAAAACTAAAGTTGAGTTTCCCAGACGAGATGCCATCTTTTCTGAGAACATAGCAGTAAAGGCATCAATGCTGGCAAAAGAGAAATTGCCCCAGAAATCCCTCAAAGAATACGGAATTAAGAAGCTGCCACGCAAACCAGAAATTAATGTGTCTCCTGTGAAGCAGGTCAAATTTTCTAAAACATCAGTCAGCCAGGAAACATCAAAATCCAAAGCAAGAGACCCCAAAGTAAAATCCCCTCCAAAAGAACGGAAGTTGGTGTTAGAACCACATGTGCTGAAAAGTCTGAACCTGACAGATGTCGCTCGTAAATCTGATCATGTGGAGGAAAAGTCCATTGGAACCCAGGTAGCAGCTATTCAGCTGAAAGCCTCAGCAGTGACTCAGGAAGACAAAAAGCAAGATCTGCTATCCAGAGGAGCGAAGGAAAAGATGAAGGAGGCACAAGAGTTGGAAGCAAAACAAGTAACTTCTCCTAAAGTGGAAGAGACTTCTGGAAGCACAGTGTTGGCGATGGGCACCACAGCAAGGGAGGAGACCATGCAGGAATCAGAAGTCCAGACTGGAGAAAGCAGCACAATTGAGGGTACAGCTTTAAATTGTTTGAACGGTATTAATTCATCTGGGCTAGGGTTTGACATTTTTAAAGGGTTTCCACATCTTCTCTGATCTTTGTACTGAAGCTGGCAGAGTGGCAGTGACTTTCTGGAAGATAAATTGTTCATTGCTAATTGTTATAAGCTGTCAGTAATACTCAGTCTCCAGCTATGCTATGAAAGGAAGTGGTTTCATTTCTCTGTATTTATAGTTTCATAAAACAGTTACTTATAAAATGGAAACAAGATTGTTTCCACTGTGAGCAAAATCATGAGTTTTATATGACAACACTTGTTTTCATTCTTCTCTTTTTTTGGAAGGATTTGGTAGCTGCCATTCTTATGAGTCAAATTTGGTGCCATCTCATTGTTGCTTAAACCCTGCTATATTTCTGGTTTTGTTTTGGGGTTTTTTTTTGGGTTTTGTTTTGAGGTTTTTTTTTTTTTCAAGCTGTCAATGTTTCAGATTTCAGAAGACTTTGAGAAATCATAGTGTAATGCCAGAAATAGGCATTGTTGATTCTGAGACTGGAAGATTGCAACTCATGTGGAAGTAGTGAGTCAGTTTTGTAGAGAGCTGAGGAGGAGACAATGGAAAGACCACTGTGCATCATGTAATCATCTCCTCAGCTGTGCTTCCCTATCTGACCTACCCTTCTTAGTTACTACCATCCTGTAAATTGATGGTCCTGCTGATCTCATTTTGTGTATCTCAGTAGCAGATGTCTCTCTGTCCTGGTCTGTCAAGATTCTGCTTTTCATCTTAGGCAGTATAAATCTGCCATTCTTGAGACCCCTCTTCTCATTGCTACTATGAATTAAATAATTTGCCTGCTTGGAAGTAAAAGCAGCATTAATTGTAAGGTTGCTTGGGTATCATCGTGCAGGAAAGGCCCTGGGGGAACAGCAAACTGAATGTGAGCCAGCAATGTGCCCTTGCAGCAAAGGCCACCAAGGCTGACCTGGGAGGAGCAGGCTGAGGGAGCTGCAGCTCCTTCCCTGGTGAGGTGCCCTGGGGGTGCAGTGTTCAGTTTGGGGCTCCCCAGTGCAAGGGACATGTGGGGCTGCTGGACAGAAAGCACCAAAGTGCCACTGAAATGATGGAGGGACTGGAATATCTCTCCTGTGAAGAAAGGCTGAGAGAGCTGGGACTGTCCAGCCCAGTAAAGAGAGGGTTTAGACAGAGCATCACCAACGTGTAGAAATAACAGGAGAGGTAAGGCTTTTCAGTGGTGCACGGTGATGAGACAAGAAGCAGTGGTTGCAAACTGAAACACAGGGTTTTGCCTGAACATCAGTAAACACTTTTTTTTACTGTGAGTGATAGAGCACTGCACAAGTTGCACAGAGAGGTTGTGGGGTCTCCATCCTTGGAGACACTCGGAAGCTGTCTGGATGGGGCCCTGGGCCTCCTGCTGTAGCTGACCCTGCCTGAGCATTTGGGGTTGGGCCAGCTGACCTACACAGGTGGCTTCCAACCTGAGACATTCTGTGACTCTGAAGTGCCCGACCAGGTTAAGGGACAAAATATTTGCATTTGTATGTCAGCTTCTAGAAGATGGTGCTGAGTAAAAGGCCTGTCTTCTCTTTGAGGGGTAAGTTGGCTCATAATTTCATCTGTTTCCTTACCTTCTTCCTTGGTGGCAGCTCAGATGACTGGAAGTGGCCCTCTGTGCTGGACTCAATCTTGGAGGTCTTTTCCAACCTAAGTAATTTTGCAGTTTAAAAACCAAAATGCAGCACTTTGCAAATGATATTTTGATTCGCAGTCAACACCATAAGCTTTCTTTTAAAAATAACAAAAGTTTGGGAAGGGCTCTTTGTTTTTATCTACAGATGATGCTTTTCTCACCATTCATCCACAGCGGAGTTCTAGATGCTCAAATATTCTTTTTTTCTGTTGTCTCCAGATGTATCTTGTTCTTTCTTCCTTCTTTGAGAACAGCCACTGCTTTTCCTTGTTCAGCATTCACACTGACTCTACCACCTGTAATTCCTACTTCTGTCCTGCCCCTGTGCCCTTAAGTCTGCAAACTCTGAGGCAGCCATACAAAAGATGTGAAAAGAATTTTTCTCAATGCAAACCTGGTTGTTCAGGTGATGTCATCCCTTTGTAGAGCAGTCAGCAAAAACTGCTGCCTTGAACTGCTGAGTGAGGAGCAAAGTTGTAGCTGGGAACTCAGAAATAGGCCTGTGATTCATTTCAGAAGAGCATCCCGAGAAGTGCTTGCTTTTTAAGAAATAAAGCAGAGATGAAGGATGAAGTGTGGGGAGGATGAACTCAGGAATGAATTTTTCCTTTGAGAAGCCAAGTGCAGTGTATTTGGGCAGGAAGAACAAGGCTCCATCTGCTTCTCTTCCTGCACATCTGTCTCTGAATTTGGAACAACTGGCTCTTGCAGGTTGAGCTACTCTTGCCTCCCCTTGCCTGTTCTTGGGGCTCTTTGCAGCAAAGAGCATCATCTACCTTTTCTCTTTGGATCTCATCTCCTGTGAGCTGTGTCAGAACTGAGCAGTAGGCACAGGGATATTTCCTGTCATGTTTTGCTGAAACCATTACTTACTTCCTTGAGTTTTACAAGCAAGCCTTGCTAAATGCTACAGATATTTCTTAATCTGATAGCTTCACACTGCTGTAATTATGTCATAAGCAAAGGGAAATCCTGGTGTTCAATTTCTCGTGTTTTTATTTTAGATGGACCTGTTAAAATAAGGGCTTAATACAATCTAACCTGAACCACTACATACAAACTTATATTACAAAGGTTTTCACTACACTTTGTGTCTTCTTCTGTTGTTAAAACTCTGGGTATACAAGAATAAATTAATATTAGGAGTAAAGTTTTAATTCATGAAATTTGCTTGGTTGTAAAATCAGCCTGCAACAAGAACCTTTTATGAAAATTATACTGCCTAGATTTGCATAATATTCTAAAAGCATAAGAATTAATGTTGGCTTTAACAGGAAGTAAGGAGTTCTAAATAACTGTATTGGGTTACTCTTTTTTGAAGGAGTGCTAATACAAAGATTAGAAGATTATATTTACAAGAAAATAAATTTACATCAAAGGCTCTTGATAGATTGCTGTTTGGTATAACCACATTTGAAATTAAATGGTGGAGATCTTGTTAAGTCCATTGCTTCTCCCCATGGCAAAAATTCAATCTGTAAAGCAGTTCTGAGAGCAGTTCTTGTGGTCTGACAGGATGATACATCATTTGTACTGCTCTTTTGCCCCTCCTGGTTTGCTAAGAATGTCACCTACTGTTCTGGCTGGAATGAAAACCAAGACAAATATGAGAAAGCCAGGAAATGTGGACATATGCCTTCCAGAGATAAATGGAATGTTCTGCCCTGTCCACCCCCAGCATTAGGTGGTGGTTTAGGTTTAAAACCTGTGCTGTAAGAGATGCCTTGTGCTGATCCCCGTTCCCCACTGCATGTGCTGCCAGACGAGGCACCAGCTGGACTTCTTTTGTTAAAGTTGCTGACTTTTTTCTTTCAAATGTTAAGTGGATGAGGGATCTGACAATTCATGAAGGCTGACTCAGTGCTTAAAAACATTGTCCTCTGGTGTGGCATCCTCATAGTCACCAGTTCCTGTTTGTTTTCACAGAGACAGCTCAGCCTGCCCCGGAGGAGTTTGATAATTCCACCTACAAGAACCTGCAGCACCACGAGTATCACACTTTCACCTTTCACGATTATATCGCTGTCCTGGCCAAGTACAGGCAGCCTCAGCCATCCTCTGGAAGACCATCACCAAGGCACTGAGAGAGCCACACTTACAGCAAACACCCAGGCTGCATGGTGAATTGTTCTCTTTAGCACTGTTGCTTCATCTGTGTAATTGAAATCAGATAATAAATAATAAAGGCATAATAACTTGGGCTTTTGAACAGTTCTTCCTGGTTGTTGGGAGTCCCTCACTTCTTGACTTTTATGAGTGAACTGCAAATGAATCATCACTGAATAAAAATACCTTTTCTACCTCTCCATATATATTATTTGGTGACAGTGTAAAAAAGGCCTGACTTTTCAGTGTCTCCAAACTTTAGATATTGACCATTCTTACAGGACCAAGCCAAAGAATCCCGTGGGATCCAACTCCTGTGGAGTTGAATTTGGTGGTGGTGTCCCTGCACTGCAGGGGGCTGTGCTCCTTGCACACAGACGTGTTCCCAGCTCTGAAGAGGTAATGTTTACTCTGGATTTGGGAGTTGAAATCATTGGCTGGGAGCAGCACAAGAAGTGTTTGTCTCCTGTGGCAAGAGTGAATGTTTTGTGTTAGTGGAGGAATGCAAGGTTATGTAATGTGATTGAAACATCTCAAAACCTCTGCTCTTGTAAAGGGAGAACAGAACATACAACTTTATTTAATCATCTGTTGGGGCCTCCAAAATTCAAGTTCTGCAGTAATTGAAATAACTTTAAGTGTAAGAGAATCTCAGTGGGCAGATCCTAATAGACTTTTACTGTGTTGATTAAACTTTGAGGAAAAAACCTATTTCTATGGATAGAAACACTTGAATGAATATTTTCGAATGTGATGAAAATACCATAAGGGTGAAAACAGCTCCTGGTACTAATTGTTTGGAATATGTTTAATTTCCTACTTCTTTTTTTCCCCAGACTAAAAGTTAAAATTGCTGTCCAGCCTCAGTCTTGCTCTGCAGAAAATGTGAGCCATGAGGCACTTCTCAATACACGTTATCAGCAGTTACAGTTGGTCTCAGTAAATTTTGTATTTCCATCCTATTAGTAACAGTCTTCTGCCTTCTGGGAAAATCGCCTTGATGGCCGCCAGCTGTTGTGGGTTTAGTTCCATTTTGGCTTCTTGTTCATTTTGGGCTTTTTTGGAGTTAATTGGCCTTTAAGCAGTTCTTGCAATAACTCCAGCATTTTCCATCACCTGTCTGTATTCTTTCAAGCAACAGACCAGGCAAGATCAAAGGGAAAACAGAGTCAGCTCTAGGAGTCTATCTGGATATTGGATGTGAATCCCTGGGTGCAATTAGTAGAGCAGATATTTTATACTGTAACTTGGCAAAAATGTGGTAAGAAGGATCAAGAGGCCTACATCAATTTGCTGTGTAGAATTTTAAGTCAGAAACCCCTGGCAAGCAATTTTATTGTGCTGTAAAAAATAAAGAGCATGTTAGTGACTCCAACTGAAATTTAGAAATCTGTTAATGTATAAATCCACGTGCTGAGGAATAAAGAGCAGAAAGTCACTTGGAGACACCAATGGTCCCATGTACTCTGTACTTGTAAAAGGGAGAGGAATTTGCTGCTAACATTAAAAACATGAAAGAATCAGGGTCTTCCTTTGTGAAGGGCCCACAGGAGGCCCCAGTAATGCTGCTGTGATTTGTTATTACCTGAGACTCCAGGTGGTAACCTGAGCCCCGGAGCTCAGAGCTGCACTGGTGCTGAACTGTGCTCTGAGCTGCTCTGGGATTGCAGGAGGAGGCTGCAAATTGTCAGACTCGACACAGTAAAAGTGAAATGTGTATTTACTCAGCCTGCCCACAGTAGCTGTCACTGTTGGCTGTTGGGAGTCAGACTTGCTCACCTCCTGCCCTTTTTATTTCTCAGGAGGACTGGTGTTCTAAACAGGGACTGGCTCAGCCCAGGAGGAGTGGGTTGAGGTAGAAATGGATCTTGTTTTCAGTCAACTCCCACCCTCTGCTCAGCTACATTTCTAACTAAGGAGATTCCAATCTGGTTTTGGGATGGGCATTTTGCTACCCTTGTTTCATGATCACAGCAAAAAATTAATGGTGGATGCCTTTTCTCTATCCATGTAACCCTGCCTTGGTGTCTTGTGATCTTTCTGCACCTCTGAAATGAAGCTGGAAGTCAAAAAACCTCACAACTCTTGTGGTGCATGTCTTTTCTATCCATGTAACCCTGCCTTGGTACCTTGTGATCTTTCTGCACCTCTAAAATGAAGCTGGAAGTCAAAAAACCTCACAACTCTTGTGGTGCATGTCTTAGGTTTGCCCTGCTCAGTGAACCAGTCTGCCCTGGGAAGGCAGATTATGCAAGGAAGGCACCAAGAATTTTTTCCCACTGTTGTGTTTTCCTGGATTTCAATGAAAAAGGCTTCATGTTTTTGTCCTTGGCTATTATCAGATGTTGCTGTGCTTGAGTCATATGCTAACATTTAAATTTCAAGCAGGATATGACACAATATGCTCAAATTCTGTAACATCGTATCTTTGTCTTGCTGTGCTAGGCACTTGTCAGATAAGTCAGGGATCTTGTTTGGAAGAATGTATAATCCAGGATGCTAACATAATTCCTGGAAAACCTCAAAGTCTCAGCTTAGTTACTGTGAAAACCAGCTGTTCAGGCCCAGCACAGATTTCAGCAGTGGGGTTTTCAAAGTAAATTGCATTACTGGGAGGGTACAAGAAAATCTGAAATCTGGAAATTGGAATTGACTTTCCTCTGTTTGACTTTCCTTGTCAAAGGGGATGGCTTTTAAACTTTGTTGTTGTTTTTTTGTTTTTTTTTTTTTTTTTTGGGGGGGGGTTTTTTTTTTTTTTTTTTTTTTTTTTTAACTGCTAACAAAACTGCTTTTCATCATTTTCTCACACTTAAAGTAACTGGGAAGCCATCAGGTTTTGGACAGCCATTGGAAACCCACTAGTCCAAGATCCAGTAGTGGTACTGCAAACACAGCCTGTGGTATTACAGCTTTAGGTATTACAAGTTCAAGAGATTTTTGCTCCTTCTGGGGCTTCCCATGTCCTCCAGTCATGATGAGAACTGAAATCTCTAAGGATCTCTTCAAGTATTCTTTCAAATTGGGAAATGAAGACTTTTCACTGAGTGCACTGACAGATCTTCCACAGTACATCCCCAGTGTTAACAACCAGAACACATCCACTGAGCCCTAAAAACCTGCCCCAGGTCTTTTCTCTCACCACAAGAGATGCCACTGCTTGTCTGTTCCAAACGGTTTGAATTCCTGGTGGGTCCAGTCAGTGGCTGATGTGCAGTGAGTGAGCAGAAAACACACTCCCAGTATCCTGTGTAGTGTCATAACATCAGAATTGTGCAAACTGAGCTTGGAAATCCTGAGATGATCAGTGCTCTGCTCTGCAGCAGCTGCAATTAGATCAGTTTGTCCTAGACCTTGTCCAGTTCAGCTCTGAATACACTCAAGGATGGAGATCCTGCAGGCTCTCTGGTAACCTTCTCCAGCATTGGACACTCTTGGGATTTAAAAGACAAACAAAAAGCCTTTACCTGTTGTCTAATTGGGGGTTTTTTGGGGTTTTTTTTGTCTCTTGATGCTGATCCTTACTCCACATTTCTGACAAGCCTGGCTTTGTCTTTTCTGCGCCTTCCAAGGAGGTGATTAAAGGCAGGAATCAATCCCCCATATTGTCCCTTCAGACCAGGTTACTTCTGTAACACCTGAGTGATTGACTCCATAACCAGAGATCCTCTCAACTCTGAGTAACATCAATTAAACTCTTAGGATTTTAAACAAAATATCCCACCAAGTTTCCAGATCATCCTTCTCCTCTCATGTGGCTCTTTTTAATGGAATTGTAAATACTTTTTTCTTTGATTCTATCGTTTCAGTGCTTAGATACTATCCTCAGTGTTCAGTTCATATCAATGCATAGTTAGAGTCATAAGTTTGTGTATTTATAATGAAACATCCCAAAAACTTTGTCTCAGTGTGTGGAGTCAGTCTCAAAATTTGTTTTGGTCTCCCCTGGCCTCTTTACAAACTTTTAACTGCAAAATAGATTGACAGGAACATGTTCCTGTAAATCCATAGCATCACAGAATACAGCCTACATGCATTTTAACTTCTACTACTCACAGAGCCCAGGCCACATGTCTTTGTTAAAATCAACACCTAAAATTCTTAGTGGGCTTGGTTTTGTTACTCCAGTCTGAAATGTGGTTCAAATGGCAGTGCCCTTTCCCAAACAGACACTTCCTAAAGCAGTAATGTAAGAAATGAGCTAATGTAGATTATTTATGCTTGCTTTTTGGTTATTGTTGGTTGTTATTTTGCTTTGTTTTCTGTTTCTGTCTCATATCTGTCCATGATAATGAGGTGTTCTTGCTATTCCATTTGGCCATGGGGGTACAACTGGTTTCTAAAATGTGTGACAGCATCTCTCTGGCAGGGGAGAGGGAACATGCAAGCCATGACACACCTTGTGCTACACAAATGCTCATGTTGTGCCCCAAAGAGGGGAGCAAGAATTACTCTTTCCTGGAGACTTGGAAAAGGACTTGAGAGCAATAACCCTCCATGCTTCCACTACTCATTTCCAGGTGCTCCTTTCCAAAAGGCATCTTCTGTGCTTTTTTTATTTAGCTTAAAATCATGCCAGACAAGCCCATTCTGAACTGCATGGATGTTTCCCAAACTCTCCTAGGGTATTCCTAAAAGTGAGGTGTATCCTATAGTTTGAGGACTGGGAGAAATGTGAGGGGAGCTGGAAAGAAACTCAAAATACAGAAGGAAAATGCAGGAACCGAGAGCAAGGATGGTCCTTATGACTCAGGTGTTGGACTGGATCGTTTGTGAGACTTCTGGCTGCCTGGCAAGTTGCATAATTCCTTAGGTTCTCATCCTTACTTTATAGATGAGGAGTTAGTGGTCCCAATTTTCTCTTTGTACATCACATCTATTTAGTGAGCAACCCAGAATAAAAATGAGTAAAACATGGGAAACATTTTTTCCTTACAACTTCTGTCTTGGGGACGTACATTGTTTAAGAGCTCTGAGCTAGCTGACGTTCTCCCAGGAGATGCAGTGCTTATTAACAGCGTGACAAAAATACACTTCAGATAGGCTGGGCAGAAATGCCAGAGATTTTGAAACTGCATTCAGGCAATGGCAAGGCCGTTGAGATACAAAAA